TAGAACACCAAAAAAAAGCCATACTCATACCAGTATCATTCACAAATAAATATTACGAAGTATGCATTCTTCTAATTCTATACATTTATGTATACAAATAGTAAATATGTTTATTAAAAAATTGTTTTTTGAATTTTTAATAGAAAAGATTATATATAAATCATGGCATATATTACTTTCTCCGTTCTTTTTTTCTTCACTTGTTTCATTTATCACACTTGCCGATGCATAATTTTAACCATGAATAACTTTAATTCTCCACAAGTACAAGTTACAAAATTATGTAATAGGATAACACTTACTGAGATAATTCTAACAAGATCTCACATGAATATGTTTTTTCCTTACATATAATGATGTAATTCACAGAAGCAATCAATGTAAGAGTGATGAATAGTGTAAAAGTCAAAGCGAGTCCAATAAAATAAAACTAACAAATACAGTAAAAACATATACATATCCCTAAAAACACTTTACCAATATAATAAAACCAGATAAATACAAGTATCAATTTTTATTTTTTTTTCCTTCACAAGATCATCCTTCTAAAACACTACTAATTTATATTGAGCATTTTTTTTTGTCTTCTGAGGGAACTTTTGAGCATCCCTTAATCCTTATGCAAGTTGTGAAAACACAGAAAAAACAAAGCTCCTGAAACCGGATAAGGGTAACCGAGTCACAGTCACAGCCCACGTGGCCAGCTCGTGCTTGGACAAAACCTAGAATCAAGGCCAAAAGCCCTAACACTAACCGACACGTGTCAGTAATTCACTCATTCTCCTAAACCCCCTTTCTCCTCATTCCTCAATACAACACTTTCTACTCCTCCCACCACTTCTGCCCTTCACAACTCACCTCTTTCTCTCTCTTTCACCCCTTTTTCTGGGTTTATATTTATCACATCATCAAAAAATGGGTTAAATTTGTTTTCTGGGAATAAATATTCTTATTTTGGAAGATTGGTTTCTTTAATTTTAATCTCAAATTTTAGTAAAAACAGACAAATTTATTCGTTTTTTATATATATATATATTTTTTTTACAAGTAAATAATGCTAGATCTTTTCCCTGTTCTTTTATTTCGCTCTAAAATCTGGGTTAGAAAACGCAAAAAATCCCAAGCTTCCCGTTAAATTTGATTAATTTTTTTGTCAGTTGGATTAATCTAACAAATTCCCCTGTATAAATTATAAACCCCTGTAATTATAACCAATTTTTTTCAGGTTTTGTGGGTAGTTTTTGTCGATTACCTTTTCTGGGTTTGATTTTGTTGATTTTTGTATATAAATCCTCTAAAAAAAAAATCCCAAAAAAAATTAGAAATTCTGGGTAGTTTGTAAAGTTTCCAAAATTGGAAGAATCGAAAAGATGAGCTTAGGCACAGCAGAAGAAGAATCAAAGGAAGAAATCCACATTCCGGCAGATATAAACTGGGAAATGTTAGACAAATCCAAGTTTTTCATCCTTGGTGCTGGTTTATTTTCCGGCGTATCGGCCGCCCTGTACCCTGCCGTAGTCCTGAAGACCCGGCAGCAGGTCGGCCGATACTCGCAACGATCCTGCAGTCTTACGACTGCTATGTATATCGTGCGAAGCGAGGGGTTCCGAGCCCTGTATAGAGGGTTCGGAACCTCTCTAACCGGAACCATACCCGCGAGGGCGCTGTATATGACCGCCCTCGAGGTGACCAAGAGTAGTGTAGGTGCCACTACTCTTGGTCTTGGTTTCGCTGAGCCCACGGCGGCTGCTATTGCCAATGCTGCAGCTGGCGTATCAGCCGCCGTTGCGGCTCAGCTTGTATGGACACCGGTTGATGTTGTAAGCCAAAGATTAATGGTGCAAAATAGTAGAGGAAATCTTAGCAAGATGAGGTATGCTAATGGGGTTGATGGGTTCAAGCAAATTATCAAATCAGATGGATTTAGAGGATTATATAGAGGTTTTGGTATATCTATATTGACTTATGCACCTTCTAATGCGGTTTGGTGGGCGTCTTACTCGGTTGCTCAACGCCTCATTTGGGGTGGAATTGGGTGCTACTTTTGTAAAAGAGATGATCCTAGTGGTGGTGATGAGGTGACAACTACTTATAGGCCGGATTCGAAGGCGGTGATGGTGGTTCAAGGTGTGAGTGCTGCAATGGCTGGTGGTGCATCCGCTTTGATCACAATGCCTTTGGATACAATCAAGACTAGGTTGCAAGTGTTGGATAGTGAGGAGAATGGGCGTAGTAGAGGCCCTACGGTGGCTCAAACGGTGCGTAATTTGGTCCGGGAAGGCGGCTGGACAGCGTGCTATCGAGGGCTTGGGCCACGGTGTGCTTCCATGTCGATGTCGGCCACCACCATGATCACTACTTATGAGTTTCTTAAGAGGTTGTCAGCCAAGACCCAAGAGGGTGTGACATAGTTGTAGGTCAATAACTCAATATACAGGGGAAAAATAGGAGTAAGAGATCAAAATGTAATGCAGAGAACAAGTTATTATCTGTCTTTTGTAACCCTAAATCTCCTTGTTTGATCCCTTATTTTGTTAAATTTAACAGGAGAATTAGGAGTTTTAATGAATGTAATCCCTTTCAAATTCACAAAAATGAATACATGTTCCTGTTTTTTTGACAATTAATGTTGCTAATATTATAACATCCATTAAATATTTTGGAATTACTACTTGGTTTTTTCACTTCTTCACTCTAAATTCCTTGTGTATGCAAAGAACATAAATTTCTAAGATTGATGTACAATACAATCTTATTTACATATGATAAGGAAAAAGTAAGAAAAGTGGGATATTATGCCTACTCACTTTTGATTTGAAAAATGAAAGATGGGGACAACTTGCAAAGTATTCCAAAGTAAATATCCTTTCAAAGTTATGATAACATCTCAAGCCAAGAATGGCCCTCACATTGCTTTCATGTGCCAAAAGTATATGAATTCTAAACAATTTTAGATCACGGTTGTTTTAAAGGAAGGCAAGCACAAGTAACTTGCTATACCTTTGCTCTAATTATTATCGGATCAAGTTTGAGGGCTAAGTTTCTACAAAGAAATAAGCTTCAAAACGTACAAACTAAAAAGCAATAAATTATTCGGTTGAAATAACTAATCAACCAATGAATATGTATGGTAGACACCAGTAAAGTTCACAAGATAAACAAAGTTTTATTTCCATAACGAGTTAATCACAAAACCATAATAGACAACTCCAAAATGGCAAATGAAATCAACAATTACACAAATTTAGGGACATGTATGAAAAACTCACAATTTTTTTTACAGGATAAATAGTAGTTTATCAAAAAACAGAAATACATAGCGAAAAATCTTGCTAAAAATGATGTAACACAACCAGAAAATAACATTAGTTAGGTCATGATATTCTCGAAAGTTTCATGAAATGTCAAGCACCAAATTTATATAATACAACAGTCACGACTCACGAGTAATTTACGAGAGAAACAATATCAACAAGTAGTGTTGTCATGTTCTTTGTACAAAGAAAACAAAAACAAGAAATTTGTCTATCAATATTAATTGTGCAAGTTAATGTAACACAATCAAATAGCGTTAATTCTAAATTATAGTCGTTTTTAGTGTGCGCGTTCCCCATATGGATCAGAATAACTTATTTCATCACTAATAAAACACAATCATATTTTCGATCTACTTATGTATACTTCTTCCAACATACACATAAGAATATGAATCTTTGCTTCCATTGAGATTGAAATGGAACTAGTCATATGTCAAGTTTTCCTTGATTGGAAAAATAGTATCTATCAACTCATAGAATAATTAGAATCAAGAAGCTTCTAGTCCAAATTTAATAATATGAATTCTTAAAAGGCAAGAGGAAGAGCAGTTGGGGTCATAAAACTCATAATCAGATAGTGTTGCTTTATCTCAAGTTGGATAATCAAATTAGTTTTTTAATTTTGACAGTGGACGACATAAAGTTTGCTTGCATCTAGGAGTATCTATTTTTTAAGTAATTAATTTTTATTTTTTTTCCTCTGGTTTGACAAATTCAACGGGATCTTGATTGATAATGCTTTTAATTAACATTAACTACTTTTTCACAATATATATTACTAGTATCAATTTTATTATCAACATCACCCACAAATGTTGGATTTATTTGATTTGTTGAAGATCACTTATGGAAAGACAATCAGATTGATTTTACAATTAAACTTAATATCTTATGCCAACTTGTTTAGCTATTTTAGCTCTATTATGTCTTGAGAAAACATAACAACCTTAATTAAATTATTTTGACATTTCAGAGAAAACTCATTTTGAATTTGTAGTTCAATCAGTATTGATCATCACGAATCAGCCTTGATCGATGTAGTATATATGATGGAACCAATTTTAATTAGCTAAAACGTTTCACATCAATAAAATTTAATCGATTTAAACAATTTTTATCAGCAAAAACCAGTTTTTATTAATTAAAACGATTCTGAGCAACAAAATTTACTCGATTTAGTAAGAATGTACACCCTCCGTCTCAAAAAATTCATAAAGAAGAAACTGACCTAACTTCTCAAATTCACACAAGGATTGCAGGTAATCCAAAGTAATAGTTAGGTCTAAAGAATCTACAACCATTGTCTAAGCTTAATTGATTAATCTCTTTTCAGATCGTGCAAATGCAGGAAAGTTGTTCTTATTGTCAACTTTTCATAATAAAATTCAGACCCACTTACCAACAAGTATACATATCGAGTATAGTTTCACCAACCATGATAGACTGATAGTTAAAGATAAAGATTCGCCAAATATACAGAGACATGTTGATACTCTCTTAATATAGGTACTAAATATAAAAAGGCATCCCATGTTCTCTATTAATACTAGTATATACTCTCTTCATTTCATATAATTATACTACACAATTCACATATTGTTGAAGGCGGTGTGGGATAAATCGTGCCCTCTATAATGGTAATAAGAACTGGGGATCGACATCAAAACAGAAAAACTGTACCTGTAAGTGGCCCGAACAAAATAATTCCAGTCATTTTCTTTGAAAAATCCTAGTAAGTTGATGCAATACACTTGAAAACTTAAATACTTGTCTGCAAAATTAAGTACTATTGAACTAATTATGTTTGCAGACAATAATTAGGATTAAACTAATAATAGAAAATTTATCGACCTCAATGAGGTATAATCTACAGGCTTAATAAGTTCAGGTCTACTACCAAAGATCCTAGATCCTAAGAGAAGTTCTAGAGACATGCACAAGTTGTAGCCGATAAGAGCATACATAACTAATGGACAGGAGCGAAGGTTAACTTGGTACCCCATGTCAGGCAACAATGTGGGTTTCATGTATTCACGGTCGAGCTCTCTTGTTACTGCAAGAAGGGCATTTGTACTGCTTGATGTGCTCAGCTCTGGCGGGAGTGATCTTCACACACTTTCCATGGAACCACGTTTCGCATATGTCACAGCAAATCCAGAACTCATCTGATGCATAGCTTTCTGCGCATGCCCCACAAAGAGTATCCCCGTGCTCATCCTCATCCTGATCATCTTCTAAGCCCTCCTCTTCTTCCTCCACCTTCTGTGGAGTAACCTTTGAGTACTTGTTGCCCTGCAATCCAAGGTTTGAATTTCAAGTTCTCATTTAAATTACTAGCAAAGATGACATAATTTGAAGATAGAAAAGAAACTGCTGCTACATTAAATTAATAAGCTGATATATCAGAAGAAAATGTTCTCCCCTTGAACAAAATATAAAGTAGGTTTGGTGTCCAAGAAAAGTCATACCGCTACCTAATTGAATCTAGTCATTCCCCATACAAACCAGGAAACAGAGAAAGACGAACCCAACTTATTACTCGTATACATCAAACAAATATATTTGTATGAACTATGATTTAAGGCTGCTTTCACAAAAACAGTGAATAAAGATAAATATATACATAATAAATAAATAATTAATTAAAAAAGCAACCCAGCACCATCATTTAATGTGGCTGACAACCCAGCACCCATAATCCTTGTCTCAATTCATGCAGTTTATAAAAAAATAAAAAAGGAGCAACAAACTGCAATACCAAAGATAAAAGCCAATTCGACCAACCCATAAATCACACCATCAATATTCAACACCACTACACAGACTCAGTATCTACTAATACGTAATATTTGCACCTTGTAGTATTGAACAAATACAAATCAGATAGGATGAACTACAAAGATGTTATTATATGGTCTGCAGTATTTAAATGACATCTTAGCCTAGTAACCAACACATAGAGCAAGAAAGAGTGGCCAATAAAGTAAACATCAACGTACAAGGCATAAACAGAAATAAAAGGATCATTACCGATTTGGAGTTAGAGTTTGACTTTGGCTTGTTGTTGCTGTGATTAGGAGTCAAAGATCTCTCTTTCACTGGTTTATTCTTAGCAGAGCCGGTCACAACCTCAAATATAGTAGGGAGTTCATTAACCATATGAAACAACCGCTTCCTACATCACACAAATCAGCTAATATTCAACAAAATAGAAAGATGCAATAAGATCAACCCCCATATTCCCTTTCATCAAGTACGAAAATAAAAAGACACAAACCCTGACAAGATCATTAACCAAATAAAGAACTTAGCTAATGAAAAACCATAGATGATACTTCCTTGATACTAAATATATGACATTACGAAATAGCCATATTTGCCAATGGACTGTACTGCTCCAATAGCAGTAACAAATATTAGTAACAGTTCATCATCCCCTCTAAGTATAGTTGAAAGGAATTCATTGGCCCTCCTCATTGCATTGAGAGGAAAATATTAGTGCAAACTCCATGATGTAACTACTTTCAACACATCTGAAAGCAACACATCATAATTTGATGAGGGAAACCAGCCCAAAAAGCTGCTATTACACAGCTAGTAAAACTTTGAACAGCATGTGTACTCCATCTATCAAGAAAAACCAATTTTGTAACTATTTGGGTCTCAATACATCAATCACTGCACACTTCCATTCTAATATCAGAAAAGCCACACACCACTCAGCTGAACTACCTTCAAGAAAATTTAACAACAAAAATGAGAGCATCAGAGTTCACTGGTACTGGTACTGGTACAAAAAAGAAGAGCTACCAACACCACCCAATGGCTCCAATATCAAGCAATAAACTACTTAAATTACAAAATACTCAAATTTATGACCATACCACAAACTCTATAACTAACATGTCAATGCCATGCACTATGCATGTTTACCGGGGTACTACACATGATCATGCAAATGCTACCAGGAATTAAGTGTAATTATACCAAAGAGAAGGTTGGGGAGGGGGGAGGGGGAGGTGATGTGTCTGATTGCACAATTTCAAATTCAAAATCAAAACAGGGTTACACGCAGTACCTTTCAGCTTTATCAAACCCAAACCTAGCTCCGAAGTAGAATGCAACAGAAAGCAACCAGGCATCACTGTGAACAGCAACCAGAGCTAGCCAATCCTTCTCCTGCATCCCATCCCTTGCAAAATTTATGCCCAAAGCAGGCTCAGGAAGCTCAGGAGGTACCTCTTCAGCAGGAAGATTGACTTCCCACTGCTCACTGGGGAATCCGTACAAGCAAAGGTTTTCTTTCTCTGTAGAGCAACATAAATTCATTTAGATTGTTACACAATTTAGAAGGATGGTAAAAGGAACACATGTAGAATACAGTGTGAACTAGCCAGTAAATGTTATACTCCGTAGCAGATTAGTATAATTCAGATCGCAGAGAGAGGTTATAAAGTACGCAAAATTGCCATAAATAGTAACTTAAATGCATTACAGCTGAATAAATAAATAGTTGCATAAATCATGCACCATGCATCTTTCAATATCTTGAAATGATTTCATAATTGACCAATAAATTGACAAAAAACATGATAAAGTCGTATGAGAATTTCCCAAACAAAGAACCCCAATACTCACGTATATTAGTGACAGAGGCACAGAGCTCAAAAACAATACTCCTTCAGTAAATGACATTCATTCAGTAAATCTTCAAAATAAAATATAGCATGTATAAGAAAAACATGTCTACCTAGATTTACAAAGACTGCAATCCAAAAATGATAATAAACTTAGTGCACTCACTTGCATAAATACCTCATCAAACCGTTGTTCTAAAATCATATTGTGCTAACTGGAGGCTAAGTCTACAGAGTCAAAGTCTTTTATCTGATTCACCATGGCATAAGACATGGGAACAAAATATAATACAATCAAATTGCACAGCAAAGAAAACCAGTAAAACTGTTCACTTAATAACAAACCACAAGAATTACGGAAAGTACCCACCATGTGTGCACACATTATTACAGGCACACAAATTATTGTTCAGACGATAACTCGATAAGTGACAAAAACTTAATGCAGGCAAGCTACACCAAACATTGACAGCTCCAAATAGCAAACAAAATCACTAATTCTACAGGGGCATTTTCGTAAACAAGCAGAAGAATAATCCTTTGGAGCATAATTAACTACTCACGAAGCAAGATGAATGACGAAGTATACAATTAATCACCAGCCTAACCTAAACATTACTCCGTAACACATACTTGTACCATATACTACAAGACACATCAACTGTGTTTCAATTCAACCACTAAACGAAAGACACGAATAAACGACAATAGTTTCTCAATTTCATAGCTTTGTATGTATACAAAAACACCACGGGACTCGTATAAACGAAAACATTCCATATTCACAGAGACACAGAATCAAAATCTCATAACACGATTCAAACCCCGCGCAAAACAGTCAAACATACCAATAACAAGCAAAATCACCCTGTTTCTTTAACATACCTCCCCTTTTTTTTTAATCTTTTTTGCAAACAACATTTACAAAAATTTCCAACATCAACCATTGCACACAAGCACAAATTCAAAAAACTGAGCAATCAAACTGGTTCAAACAGTACAAACAAAAGTTAACATCAACTCAATTATACATTAATGAACAGACACTCATCACACACATCAAATCAAAACAATTCAATGAAATTCAAACGAGTTTATCAAAATCAAATTCGCAACTTTCATTTCAACTCAAACCCACTAACCTCAACCCAAACAAAAAAAATATTAAAATGAAATACAGAAATGAAAATAAAAACATAGAGAGAGATAAACCCTAACCTGGGTCACACTGTTGGTAGAATTCCTCAACGTCTGCCAAAAAAAATCAAAAAGGTAAGAATTAACAAAAATTACATCAGAAAAATTAAAATAAAAAAGCATAATTTATACTATGTGAAGAAAATTCAAAAAATAATAATTCAAAAAATTCAACCCAGTAAATTTTTCCCGGGAATTTCGCACAACATTGGACACCAGAAACCAAAAACCCAGAAAAAAAAAAAATGAAAAAAAAAACCCAAAAAAAGTGACAAACCATTAGTGAGAGCCTTAATCAAACCAGCACGACGACCCTTAAAATCTCTAAAAACTTCTTCAACAGTTCGAGGGTTGTACTGCGCTCCAATATCCATTGTTCTAGAGAATTATCCGATAAAATTAAAAAATTACAGAGAATTTCTGGGAAATAAAAATGGAGAAAATTGAGAAAGTCAGGAGGTTGAAGAAGGAGAGAGAAATTTGAAATAAATAAAAAAAGAAAAAATGGGGGAATAATAAAAATATTAATAATGGGGGGAGTTTAAGAAATGAGAATGAGGGTTAACTTAACTATATTGGATATGTGGGCGACGAGTCCGAGACTAGTCAAGACTCACCACTTTTTTTTTTGGTAATTTTTTTCAAGTTTTACTAATTTGGATAATTCTTGTCAATCTTAAACTTAAAAATAAAAAACAAAAAAAAAAAACAAAATTTGGTAGGCAGTACGAGTAACTTTTAGTTTTTGAGGCTAGTTAGGTAGATTAGGGTTCAGAGTTCAGATACTAGGTTGCTTGTATCGACATATTTTTAGCTCGCTATTTAATGAAGGGTAAAAGAGGGAATTTTCTAAACTCTTAAGAATAGGGTATAGGCAAAAAGATTTACCCTAAGAATAGTATTGCGAAGCTCTAACTAAAAAATTAAGGGTAATGATATACGGAGTACTTCCTAGGTACTCGTAGCATTTAGGCTAAGATTAAGCATTTAATATATTTTCTAATTTGGTACGGAGCATTAGTTTGCAAAAAATGATAAAATCACGTGCAAATCATTTTAATTAATATATATTTTCATTTTTTTACTTTAAACTCCTTATAGGGTTATATATAGTATTTTCCAAAAAATAATCCGAATACTCGCTACATTGATAGAAAGGATTGCACCAAAAAAAAAATGACTTAAAAGGTCTCGAAAGTCCTGAAAAGCAACCTAAGCAAAAGAATTACCCCTTCCTACCCATGGAGATGATAGGTGGAACTTCAATAGATGTAAATTCAATCAATAAATGTAAATTTGGTTCATTTATTTATGGTATAACTCCCTTGGCTTGTGTAAACAATCGACTTAGGTCTTTTATGTCCATCATCACTTCATCAGTCCATGGTCCAAGGTCCAAGGCCCTTTTTTTGGGTTTTTTTTTTAGTGACTAAAATGTAGTTTATACTCTACTTCATGAAAATTGAATATTTTTAGTGACTTACATTGTGTGAAATAGAGTATAAACTAAAATCCCTTTAATAGAAACACACATTATACATTTCAATTGTAATATTAAATTACAGTAAACCTATTCATCAACAAGTAAAAAGAAAATAAATGGTCAAATTAGTATAATTATGAACCAACATATTCAAAATACAAATAAAATACTCGTAAAAGAGTTAAAGTTGCCAAGCTCCATGTCCAACAAGCAGCTTGACATTAATCAAAGTGTAAATTTACACAAATGATAATAATGTTATCCCATAATAACAAATCACCATACTAATCCACTTTCTTCCAACCAAGTTTATTTGTCACATCATTCAGAAAGTAATTAGAAAGAACTTAATCTCTACACTTCGAAAATTAGACAGCTTATAAAACTTAACACAAAGCAGAAAGTAACTGAGCCAAGGATGACTTCCCTTTTAAGGAATGATGATCAACCACCAAAATCTCTTCCGGGTGATTTCTCAACCGGAGTGTTGATCGGGGTGCTGTTTTTCACCCCCTCAAATATAGTTCTCCGTGCTACCACCACCTAGCACCGCTTCACCATAGCCTGATGAGTAGTTAGAGAACCTAAATTCCAGTGGATGGTAGATATCATCACTGTTGGAGGTACTAGTGACATCGGAACAAGAAGTTGTGGAGGTGCCTTCTCCATAGTTTTCTTGCTTGCGAATTTCAGAACCTGATGGATTTCCAGCCAAATGTAGTGAAATTGTGCCTGAAACCTTGTTATGGTCCTTGGTAGTTTGAGCTGTAGGGTTGGATTCTTGGAGCTTTTTCATGTTAAGAAAACGCCCACCAGATCCCCGGGTCCGCTTCAATGCATGTTGGTGTCGGGATTCATGAAGATATGGCTGCAAATATCAGCGAAGTATTAGGATTTTGACAGTAGCAAGGCACCCTTAACGCCACAAGTCGAATCATTGGATTGTAGTAGTAGTATAAAACTACTAATTAGCACCAAGATTTTATTTTAACTTGACAAAATACATTATTAAGAGGTAGCAAAAACTTTTAGATGAGGTAACTTTTTGAATAAAGTGCTATGTGTAATTATCAATTCCCACAGCCTGAGACGAGCCTGTTCAAGGCACTGCACGGCATGAAGCCTCCAAGGTGGGTTGTAGTATGTACAATACTAGTGAGCAGCAGTACAGCAAGGCTATGATCCTAATATGGTTAAGAGCAGAAAGGCCCAGGATTGTTTAAAAGCTGTTAAAACATCTTAGAGAAATAATATGATCAAGAAGAGGGTTCACAAAAGAATCTATATATTACATGTCAATATGTCATATAACATTATAACATACCCTCATTCTAGCATGTTTTTGCAGTAAATACAGGCAAGTTCAGTACCTTTCGGTTTTTGGCAAGTTTGTTCTGAGCCTCAAGCTTAGCACGATGCTGTCTCCTCCTTAAGATACCATGATACTGCTTTGCATTGACATAAATGGGATCACTTGCTGAAAAATCAAGAGGGAGAGGAACTCGAGCAGGCATGATTCCCATCATCTGGGTAAAGGGGAGTACCCCAAAATGATTCACAGGTAAGTACCACCTCATGAGAGGATAGAGGAAAGATCTTAAATGGTGAGGCATTAAACACAGTGCTTTAAATAAATATGCTGGTTGGATGACCAATTAGGGCATTCATTAAGAAATCATTAGTCGTAGAATCTACAGCGTGGAAACCACGAGGAAATAAAAAAATCATATATTTGAGCAACTTGGAAATTCTACCCTACTAAAGATAGTAATTAGATAACATAGTATCAAATCTTTCAGCAACTTGAGTGTTCCACACCTACTAAAAATAGTGAACATCTAACAGTAATGCCACCAAAGTTCTATATTTAAATGAAACTTTAATATAAGCATGACACCGAGCAATTCTTTTTATATAACCAAAGCCGGTAAAATATGAACATAGAATAGATTTCTTTTTTTTTTTTTAATTAAAGGAAAGAAGCATATAATACCAACAAAAATGACACTTGTATAATAATAATAAAATTGGAAAAAAAAGAAGCATATATACCAACAAAAATGACACTTGTATATTAGACATAATGCTTGTATATTAGACATAAAAGATTCAACTCGGACTTGGTGGAAGTCAACCCAATACAACTTAGCAACTCAAATACAAAACCCAACTCACCCTGATGAGAATACAAAAAAGACATGTTTGGGTTGAGATTTTGACCCATTTAATGAAATACTTCGTACTTGAAGTAAAGGTTCACATTTACAGCCTAAAATGACTTCTTAAACTGTTAAAACCATTAATGACATTTTAAACCATTTGATATTTAGCCGTGAAGTTCTACGAAGTAAACATATTATATGAAAATCCAAAAAAGGGGATGGCAACATCTGATTCCTACACAATTCATTGAAAGAAATGCAATCTGAATATGAAAAACCAAACAGAGTCCAATGCAAGTCGTAAGTGTTACATGAAATCCGATCCAATCCAATTATTACTGCTAGTCTGCTACCTAAGCATATAATAGGTTTAAATTTTTTAAGATAATAAAGTTTGTACCACTAAATTAGAGTAAGCATAGTCTAGCGGCTCTAACCTAGAACTAGTACTATATACTAGCGGCTCAAACCTAGAACTAGTACTATATACTATCTTAACTGGTGTTATAGCCCGGATCTGATTCAATTACAACCCGATCTCAGGGAAAGACTCCAATTTGATTCTGAAAATTACAGTCGGAATCCAATTTTAAAAAATTTGAATCAGAATAAACGTCAGTAAATCCGATTCTGATTCGACCTATGGCCAATCCAAACCAAAAAAAAGTGCTACTATATCGCAACTTATTTAAACCTGGGAGATGTGTCAAATTATAGTAACCTCTATAACGTATAGGAAGTTTGAATTGACATTTTCAACCCGTTTAATACATGGACTTGGATCCGGTTAAAGAACACTCAACCCACTATTATAATTTATAAGCACGTATACAAACCCAACTCAACAGTCTGTTTGCCATCCCAAGAAAAAGGGTTTCAAATAATGAATGGGAAGAAAAGATTGAAAACGAAAGACCTAGACCTGTACATATATATATTTGCCGAATTGCATCTTAGGAACACTGCTAACTTATAGCAACTTTTTCAGATTTTTATACCGCAATTAGATTTGTCAAACTTGCGTTTTGTAGTAACTTAATAAAAATCCGGGAATTATTCCAAGGTCTTTCACGACTATAATAGGCAACAAGTGATTATAATATTTTCTACTACAACCAATTATTCCACAAATGAAATTAAGTGCCAACTTTAACAATCCATAACCAAATATTAAACATTGACAACAAATTATTCGTACCTGACTTCAGCTTAGACAAGAAGGTTTGGAAAGGACCACAACTGAACTAGAGCTAGAATCTATTAGACACATACTGATATAAACAAGTGGCAATAATGAAATCCACTATCCTAACACAGATATAAAGTTTGGACCACTAAAAACTTTACTTATCATTATATTTCGGCTAAGACAAATACGCTCCAGGCCATCCATATAATTGCCCAAACCATTCCTATATCAGACCATTTACGAGGCAGAAGATGGGCAACAAATCCCAGCAATTTAGCAATAGATAAGATTACAGATTATAAAGGAATTAGTTTCTTAAATTACTCGACATAGTTTTTAAAGGTAATTTTCCCATAAAGTTAACTGATATTCCCTATAAAGAGTGGTCTTACCACAGCTTGAGGCGCATATGTTGACATTACACCATTGTAGTGTTGATCAGGAAAAGAGACAGCAAACTGAGGCTGAAATGAATTATAAAAAATCATAAATAAAAATGAATCCCTAAAAATCATTATCACAGTTGGTAATTTGAAAATACCAAGTCGTATAATACACTTACAATGGCTTGGTTAAAATCAGTCTGCAGAGGGGGTAAGGTGTAATCCTGAGTTCCCATTGAGAAGTTGAATTTATACTCGCTACTTTCATGTTTCCCATGGGTTACATTATAACCTGGATGAAGAAGAAAACATAAGTTATCCCAGCTATTATCTGAATCCAAAATCTCTCATTACATAATCTCTCATAACCATAACAGCACAATTACCAATTTACTGAAGACCTAACAAGACTCAAACATTTATATTATATACACATATAAACATTTAGATGATAGACTATAGGCCACCTCTACATTTTGCATTGTCCCAAAATAATAGGCCAATGTTTTAAATTTAGTAAGTTAAACTTTGAACGTTCAAAAATTACCATAAATGATAACTTCGGTTGAGCATTCAAAGAGATACGACATTGTTATGGTGGTAAGGTAAAGATTAACAGTGAAGGGTAGTTGTGGAAGTTCAAATCAATATCTTAATAAACACCCAGAATCAAACAGACATAGCTTCTTAATTAGGGATAGAGAGAAATATTTAATATGCAACCTGCAGAGAACATGATTACACGTGAACCAGAGAAAAAGCAAAAGGAAGAAACACATTGAAGTGGAAGTGGATTTCATATTTAGCATTTAGAAAAATAAATTATGAACAGTCACGGCAAGGTAAAAGATTGAAGAAGCAAATTTCTTTTCCATTCTACAACTAGTGCTTGAACAAAATGGAGACGTACTAAAACTAGCATAGACAGATAGCACAAAGGTGACTGCATTAACAGTGAGCCTGTTACTTTAATGATTGCTAGTTTGCTACACTGCCTACACACATTCACAGGCACAGGTAAAGAGCTCAGGAGTCGGTTATTTGGTGATCACTAAGCTAATACTAAGAAATGATTTTTTTACAAGCAAATCTCGCTCATTATTAAGCTCATTTGGCTTTATTTACAAATAAAGTGGTCACAGTGGTTTCAGCTTTATCGATGTTGAGCAGAAGTAGGGTGTCATCAATCATATAACCACAGTTTAAGACTTGCTTGAGGAAAGGAAGAATTCGGCTCAACATCATCAACATAAAAGAAGATTAAGTGTGTAAGTTGCAGAAATTAGATCCCACACAACTATAGTAGCTATCAATGCTTCATATCATATGCATATAACTTCACCAGCCTGAATTTTACTTGATTAGCAATGAGCCTACGAAGCAAAACTGTTGCACCATAAGTTCCCACTGTTTACAACCAATTCTTATGTAAAATCTTAACTAGCAAATACTGCTTCTTTCCCAAAACAATCTTCTTCTTTGATTTAGAGCAATCTCCAAGGTTTAACTTTTCTTCAAGTACAGCCATGAAAAATAATTCAGTCGAAAGCAAGTCATATGGACAAGAAATAAAGAAATTGATATCCAGATTTGTTGGCAGAGGCAAAGATGGCAAAAGGAAAGCTATTCATGATGACAAAACTGAAGTTTATAGAGGATGGAATTAACAACAAATGGATGAGAAAAATAAATGTTCTCTCATTCCTTCTATAAAACCTTCCAAATCAAACTTTACTACTCACTATGATTATATTTTTCTCAACAAAATTATCACCCATACTTCTAATTTCAAAACGTACACAAGTCGTTAAGGGCACATTAGCACAGAACAGAGTATATCTTGAGCAGAGACAAAATGTTACGGATATCAACAACCAAGCAACTCAAACTCAATCTAAGCACGCATTGGATTCAGTAGCGGTAATTATTACCTGATTGCGCAAAACTCATGCTTTGAGTATGAAGGTCATTTTCTCCAAAGCTAGCAGAGCTGGTATAAAATTGACCAGTTGATTGAGTTGAACATGAATCCTGATCTTGTAATGAAAAATCCAACAACTTTGCACCCTGATAGCGTTGAGCAGGAACTCCCATTTTCAAGTTTAAAAAATGGATTTAGGAGATTCTGGATGAGTTTAATGGATGGCCACCGCAACTGGCAGCTAAAGCGAAATGAGTAGTTGATATAGCAACACTTGAATCTGCTTCCTTCTTGGATCCTATATTTCTTGTCGATAACTGTGACAGAAATCCCAGTACGTCAATATAAAGAGAACGTTCTTCAGAATATGGCTTTTTGATAGCTTAGAATAATTGAGAAATCAGGAAAATAAACTTATGCTAGAGGTGTAAACCGTGTAATCGATTGGTATCACAAACTGATAGATGCTCTGTCTATCTGCAACTTAAAGTCTCGCGTTTACTCAACAAGTTAACATCCAAGCTAAACATATGATCTGGTTTAGATTGCCAACCACCCACCCCCAACACACAGGCATAGCTGATCTGTTTATCTATAGCCAAGTTCCTCATGTTCATTCAGCACCCAAGCTATTATGATCTTATGGGTGATCAAAATCCCTCCCTCCCCCCCCCCCCCACCCCACCCCCACGGCCCACAGGCTAAGATCACCCATGTAGTAACTTGAAAACAATCATTCAGCAACAAAAGCAGCACCTAAAGTCCAGTTCTAGTCGACGAAAATTTATGATCATGGACAGTGTTGACACATGCCTACTGCTACCATACAGTTCAAGCAACAAAAGAACTACCAGCCATAATTTATTCCACAAAATACACTTATGCCAAGCCAAACTAAATTCTGCATCCATACAACACTATACCTAGACCAGAATGAAATTCCACAACTTGCACTTGGGGTCTCCCTGTTAGTTTTTTAAAAGGTTTGAAGCTTTCTCAACTCAAGATTATTCAAATCTACACAGTTGCTCATCCTCTACAGTCTACAGTGCTCCAGAACCATAGGCAACTTAATGAATGCTTGAATAGTGCACGATTTGATAAACTTTCTCCATGAATCCAAGATAAACAAGGTTTGGTATGTAAGAAGCTGGATTTAAAGAGATTACTTGAAACACCCTTAAATTCTTTTTGCTAAAAAAAAAATCCATTGCATATAGCAGAGCCGCAGCCAAACCAAATTTATTTTTCTTCTAACTGGTCTCACAGACTTACGTCATCCAAGCCGTTTTTCATTATTAATTCCTAACATAGATAACAAACAGATTGGGATATTTATGCGCATTTCCATAAATCACTACAAAATTGTAGACCACAATAATAGAGAAAAGAAAACCAATCTATGACATATGAAGAATATAATATAGGTTATTATTATCGAAATTAAATAGGATCAATGTGAATGTAAAGGTACATGGAGATTCAACAACAAAAAAACAATTGAAGACGCGGTACAAGGAGATTCAACAATAAAAACCAGTTGAAGACGCGATCCGGCAACTTGAAGCAGCTATGATGATAAATAACTAAAGAGGGTCAACGGCATGTCTAGGGAAACTATATAAGCCACACCAGATATTCATGCTTAGGTTATCAGGAAAACCTCTAAAATATGTACAAAATCTAATTTTATAAAACCTAATTTTAACTGCAATTTGATACCCAGAGTAGCAACTTTTTTTACCACTAGAAGTCAAATCTCAATTCAACCAGAAATGGAAAGAAAACAGACCACTAACAGAACTGAATCCAGAAACAGTAAGCTTGTAGCAGAAATTGAGACTTTTCAATTAGCATAATACTAAAACAAGATTAACAACAACCCAGCTAAATACATGATTTTATTTTTTTCATTACAACCTCAAAACCCCAAATTAAGAAATGGATATACATACCCAAATTAGCAAGAACATATTTTTATCACATTATAAATCAATAAAAGTACACCCAGAAAAATTGAAAGCAAAAATAGTACAAAACCCATCAAATTAAGAGAATTAATAAAGAGAAAAAGAGGGTTGAAGAAAAAACCTTTAGCTTTTGAGCATATCTCCAATTTTCTCTCACTCTTTCTCTCTCTAAGTAAATCTGTTTCTGGGAAAAATCTTGGGCTTTACTGCAAAGAATGGGCCAATAATAGGCAAAGGAACTCCAAAAGCGACGGATTCTTGCCTCCTTCAAAGCGCCAAGAAAGATAAACTCTCCTCAAAAGGCTAAAATACTGAAATTCACCATTATCATCCCACCATAGTCTCCTTTTTCTAAACATTAATTTATTGGCAAAATATAAAACTATAGGATATACTCAAAAACTGTATATCTGTACAGAATTATTTCTAAATAAAATTGTGAATAAAATATCGAGTTATACTAGTGTTTGTGTTTATGTTTAACCAAAAAGACAGGAGAGTAGACAAAGAAAGGCATGTGCTTGACTTGTACCAAAGTGGGTAGTCAGCCGCCCTCTTAGTGTTTGAGGGCATCACAACCATGCGCCAAATCTCACTTGATCTTGCCCAAATATTGTATTAGCCAAGTCCCAATTTGATTATATCAATGCATTTGACTAGGTATATATTACGTTTTTTTTGTTTTGGCAAAGCAGTAACGAGGGTTAGCCGACAATACAAATTCGATATTATTGTCTAGACTAATCAGTCCATGGGCTTTACAGTCTATTACAATATTAACAAATTGAAACACACATTATTTCTCCTTTACATAAACAGTTACAAATTACATTAAATTATTAAAGAATGACTTTTTATGGTATGGGAGGACAACTAGTGGGGCATCAATTTTTTGATTCGTGTGTGCCGCATAATCGCACCAATAGACTTAGACACTTAGGGTATGTTCTGATTTACTGAACTGAACTAAAGTGAACTGATTGGAGCTGAGCTGAACTGAACAGAATAAAGTTGAAATGAATTGTTTATGAGAGAAGAAAATTAGGAACTGAACTGAACTAAACTGATTGAAACTGAAGTGGAATTAAGCTGAAGAGAAAAGACCCTTAGTTATGATAAAGATAGGATGGTGCTGTTAAAGTGAAGTTGATATTAAATGTGGTACAGGACAAATTTTTCACGAGGCTATTGAATACGTGTCCGATTAGAAATAATTCTATTTTATAAGTATCATTTTCTGAACAATTTAAAATTTAACATATTGTAGTACAAAAATAGCTCTTGGACAATTCAAGAGAATTAATTTTGTTTTTAAATTATACTCGTATAGTTTCAAATAAAAACTCCCTTAGTGAAATATAATATACCTATTGCCACCATTGTTTATATTTTAACCATTAGGTTGGATGGGGGGAGTAGGAAACCAAGTTGTGAGATGGAAGAGATGTGGAGGAGGGAGAAAAGGCTAGGGCATGGTGTTGGATGGACAACGTGGATAAGTAATTTAGAGGTTTCGCTAGATAGAAAAGAGAGAATAAAAGAATAATACTATGTAAGATGTAAGAGTAAAAATATCGTTTAACGTGATAGTAATTCAATGAATATTACAAAATTGCGATTTAAATACCTAACAAGGATTAGCTATTAATTTTTTTTTTTAAAAAAAAAAAAAAAAAAAACATTTTCCTAATATAAATTGTTGGACTTTTTCTTAAATGATCAAACAAGTGAACAACTAATCTCTCTTTAATTTGAAAGCTACTATATGTTGACTTCTTGTCCAAATTTTTGCAACCAAACACACCTTTGTCTCAATAATTGCACACATAACTTAATTCGTATGGTATAATGTTATCTTAGAGTTATTATTGGCTAATAACAGTATCTTTAACTCAACAAAAATTAAAAATTAGTCAACTGTCATGTCCAATTCTAATAAGGCCGATCATGCAATAGTTATTCCTTATTTTTGTTTGACTAGAACAATTATTCTAAATTTAATAATTCAAATCTCGTAAAATAAAAAATAATAGCTCTATCAAACACTAAATAATGTTTATGGGGGGTTGTTGGGAAGTTGATTTTGTTGATCGGTAAGCCCTAAGCTAGCTATTTGGCATGGTAAAAATCGAAAGTAAGATGTCACTAAACAAATGATACTTTCAAATAATAATTAAACAAACTTAAGGGGCTAAGTCACATAAAGTAAATTATTTATGGTGCTAAATGACAAAAATTTATACGTTCTCTGATCAAGACACAAGTTTTATAACCCTCTAACCATATAACATTTTTTTTTTACTTCTCATGATTAAAAACAATTTGTAATAACATAATTAATGCTAAGTTAATTATAATGTAATTTTGCAATATTTATCTTTATTTAAAATAGATGGAGCAACCCTAAATAACCAAATTGGTACACTTATTTGCCATAAGACAAATATGTTTGACCACCTTAGAAAAAATGAATTTTGAGTAAAGTATAAGATTCATAAATCATAATCATAACAAACAACATGGATTCTCTTACCTAGAGAAAAAAAAAAGGTGAATTAATATAAAATACAAATTTATAATTTCAAGAAATGACGATTGACGAGGAGTATGAAAACACCATCGTTAGTTGCCCTCTTACATCACCATCTTATTTTACCCACCAATGTTGGTACTTACTCTTTAATCTTTATATTAAGTGTTTGTCCCTTTGCATTAATTGGTGGAAGTATAATTATCAATTCTTATCTTGTAATATTTTGTACTACTTTGTATATAAAATACTAATATCACTAATTGGTCACTAAAGTATCAGGTTGTATAAGATTATGTATTGCTTTTGTTTTCATCCATACTTATCTTCACCCAAGTCATCTTTTATTCCCTACTTGTATCAAGATCTTGTCTTGATCCAAAAGTTGGATACTTTTTGCTTTTGTCATCCTTGATCAAATAACTTCTTGTGTATAAAATAAATTTAATAAAGATATTTTGTGCTCCTTTTTTTTATCCAAAAAAAGTGACGTTTAAGGTTATCTTAATTGATTATTAGCTCAATAATGTATTGCTTTAGCTAATAATCACTTGCAAATATTTAGGGATGATCCTTGTAAATACTAAGGCTATAGCCTTTTAATATATATATCTTCTAGTTATGTTAAAAAAAAAAATTGATTATTAGCTCAATAATGTATTGCTATTAATTTTCAATGTAACGTAAAATGACAGATTTTACAATATTATGGTTATTTATACTTGAAATTGGAAAGGAATGTATTAACATTATTCTTGTTAGGGGAAAAAAATGAAAAATGAAAAAAGAAAGGGTTTGAATTTTAATGAAATGCTCAAAGAGTCAAGGCATACTCACATAACAATATAGAGACATTGTTTTTCTTGCTTAAGTAGTCTTATGATATCTATGTTGATTTTTTTTTTTTTTTTTTGTGTGTGTGTGTGTGTGTGTGTGTGTGTGGATGAGTAGGAAAATACAACTTGAGTACTTGGTGGATTTTGAATATCCAAACACTTTAGATATCAAAATCATTTCCAAGATAATGATGTTAGTCTGTTAGATGTCATTTGGGATAATCTCAAAAAGAAAAATTACCTCAAGAGTCAAGACGTAAACAATATATTACCATAGTAAGATCCTTCAGATCACTTGTGGTACAATAAAAATTATTGAATAAAATGTTGAGAGTGAATATACAATGCCAATTACTCGATTAGCCATGATCATCTCGGCCTTTTAAATTTACACTTCACAGTTTCATCTGCTTGCATAAATTGAGTAAACCAGTTTCAAGAAAGATCTCAGATGAGTGAACCTCCAAGAAAGCAACAGATGAATAGATTGCAAAGACATTAGCTTACTATAAAAGCCTGTTATAGTAGGTGTGTTTGTGTGTGTTATTTATTACTTCGTATATTCGTATATTACAATTTTTAAATACTATGTATATTTTATAATAGTAAGACATATGATTGCCAATATTTGTTCTACTCTTAATTCATAACATAGTACCTAGTACAAGAGACCCTCAAACACCTAAAGTCGAGCAACTGTGACAGCAAAACCAGAAACTTATAAATATGACGATTCTATATACATGCAAATCAATTAATTTTCGCCAAAATTACTTTACAATGGCATATAGTATAAGAATGATACATTAAATTTCAGGTAGTCACTGGATAAATTTATCATTCATTCAATTTGAAAAGCAATACGTCAAACTATTAACAGATCAAAGCAGGATATGTTCATGTAATTTGGTGCCACATTTCCCATCATACTTCGCCTTTTTCCAATGACATCATTAAAGGGCAAGAAATTACCTGCATCAATTCATCAAACTTGAGAAATTCACAATTTTTTCATCATTTCTTTTGCAATTCCATCTCAAGAAAGCAGCGATTTTGAAAGATAAGTGTTGAGAATAAGCATAGTTAATTTAGTTGCTGTTATAACTTCAAGTTGATCTTCTCTGCCCACTTGAAGATATCAGAATAAACACGATCACCCCCCAAATCTTTGCCCGTTTGTCCAGCAGCTACCCTCATGACATCTTCAATCAACGCAAAGTTCCCCATAATATCAACATGGGCACCACTTTGAGTCCCCCGGCCTTCTAAAAAGTTGGCTGGAGGAGCATGATCATATTCTCTTATGTAAGTTTGAATTCCTGAAGGATTATACTTAGTTTTTCCTCTCCAACCTTTAGCACACATATAACCTGAACTCAAGACTGGAACTGTTTCATCTCCATCAACTAGGAACACCCCGTCTCTCAAACAACTACCTTCTTCATCCACGTTTGCTGAGATATTTATCTGAAATGGAATACTGCAGTCCGCATAAGGTGTTACTCTATATACATATGCTCTTTCTGTTGGTATGCCAACGCCATAGAGAGAGAAGATTTCCATTTCAGGTGCATCTGGCAATCTGAAAAAGATACAAAAGTGAGAAATCACCAGGAATACAAAAGAAAATTTGATGAATGACATATAGAATCAGAACCATACTTGGTTTCTAAGGGGTTGGACCAATATTTATAATGCTGGTATTTTAGGTCGTTCAGATCATCAGCAATGCCATATGAAAACTGAGCATCGCCCCTAGCCATCATCTTTGGAGCAACAAAGTGAAGCAAGTCTAAGACATCATCAGCTGTATAAGCTTTGTAGTCGGCAACAGCTTTTACTCCACCAACACCCATGTCATGATACTCTGTCCAAACATCACGACATGTGGTATTTGCAACATTACTACCCTTCACAGCACCCTGAACAACAGGAACAATTGAAGCTTCAAAATGCGAAACGATTAAATATACCATATAGTGTAGAGTAAAACTAAACATGGCCGAGGCCTAAACAGCCAGTTGCATCAGGTTGACTGTAAGATTATGCTGGCTGGATCAGACCAAGTAAGTCAAAAGACTAGGATTACTTTAAATATATATTCAAGCTAAGTCAAAAAACGTATTGTACATGTAATGACCTACAAAGTAAGTTTAAAGCCAAAGTGTTATTGGAAGAGCTAGGTAGTAGTCTAAAATCACTATTCGAGCTCAGCCATGTCTCGAAAAATGGCCCAGCCAGATAATGATCAGCTCTAGTATCAAACAGTTATTAACCACAGCTACAAACTAAAAGGCCAGTGAAATGAATGTCAGATGTGTTACTGAAAGAGAAACTAAAATTCATACCCTGAAATCAATCCTTTTGATGTCAGATTGAGATGCCTCAGCTACATCATTACCAAATGATATCATCCTTCCATAATTAACCTTTTTTCTTTTAGGATCCTCTGGTCCAACCTCATTATTTCTAGAGACAGTCAGGTTTTCATCTTTCTTCTTCTTGCTTGGACTATAGCCTTCTTCAGGTGACCAATCAAGATCACCCCAAATAGCATTTCCACCTTTCGGTATCATTGACATTGTAGCATCCCAAGTACGAGTCATCCTCATCACATGCTGCAATGTTTGGAGATGGAATATATCATTATCCAAAACACCTGGTGCAATGGCCCTACAGATTAAAACAAAAACAGAAAGTGAATATTTATACAAATTTCCCAACATTAGAATATAACTCCTTTAAATTGGGTCCAAGGCTGGGACTAGCTAAGACTGCGCCAAGTCAAGTTGAGGCCTACAAGGCATCTTACAGTGAGCTGGTAAAAATTTAAGTGGCCACAGTAAATTGAGCATAATCAATACTAAGGCTGATTTAATTCGTTAGGAAAAGAGTTAGTAACATGTAAAAGCATACCTTGCAACTGCAATGTCCCTGGCTTCAGCAGACAGAAGTCCAGGAACGGCCTTTGGAACACCAAGAAATGGTCCACCAATGTTCATCACAGCTTTTATGTGTTTTGCACACCAATCTGAACCACCACCGCCTCCCATTGGTGCTGGAGCTTCAACCCACTTCATAAAATGGAGAAAGTACAAAACTCCCATTGAATGCGGAACAATCACTGCCTTTTTACCACCATTAGTTGCTACCATTAGCTCTATAGTACTTTTCATACGACTTAACGTATGATCCCTCACCTGGTCACAAAATAGTGAGGACGTGAAGGAAAGACCTCATATAAAGAAGAATATGCGAATACAAAGGTGAAATGTTTATAATATTACACGAAATACAGAGCCAAACATGTACCTCAGTATGTTGGAAAGACAATCTCCAATCGTATGAAGCCATATGCATATTCTTCTCCTCGTAACCTATACGTGCCAAATTGGCAATCAAGACAGCCCAAACAAAATATCCAGGAGCAAAATAATCAGCAGCAACAAGTCCGGGGACAGATCTAACCCTTATACCAATAGGGTCAAGTCCAGTTTCATTGTTCAGTGACATATGCTCAACCCAGCACAATGGTCTGTTAAGATGGGACAAGAAATCAATATAAATAACCTTTTATTGGCAAGTCTGTTCAACTTAATGAAAAACATTCTCAAACAGAATATCTAATTTCAGAAGTAAAATCAAAGCAATAATCTGTAAACTATGCCAAAATGAACATAATCTAGTATCAACCAGTATAATTTCTTGTACCTGAAAGATCTTGTTGTACAAGATGGAAAGCATTACAAGATGAAGCAAATAGTAACAGTCCTCATCAATGCACAAAATCTATGCTTCAAGTAACAAAAATCATCAAATATTCTAATGTGAGTAGAGTTGTTTGTAGCAGCATCAAGGTAGGTAAATCCAATTCAACAACAATTTGATATTTCAATCATTGTTCAAAATATGAAAAGATAATACTTAAAAGAACATTTTGAGAGTATTCATCAGCTGATGTCAAAGAACAAGTATGTTTATAATTGGGAATTTGAGAGAATTTAAGTTATGTTTATTATTAAATGAACCTAAATCAAGTGTACTTAATATGTTAGCCCCTAACACAAAGGATATACCCCCACCTTCTATGTTTCATTCTCAACAATTGATAACATCACATTAACATCAATGCAAAGTACATGTAATGCTACATCTATAAATTCCAATCTAGAAAACATTGGATAAAACGAAGAAAGAGAGGCACGTGTGGACGCGAAATCCATTCATTGTGTTCCGATAAATCATTTTAGGCATGTTTGCCTCCTCAAATGAGGATAGACTTGGATGGCTTCAATCCATGTAGAGAGTTGTCATAGCTAGCAATTGCAATTTAATTAATGATTAAAGAAAATAATTAGATGACTACAACAATGCAATATGCACCCATGAGGTCATGACCCATGTAGAGTTGTACACCACAAAAGGTATGATTAATACTTCAGCAAACCAAAGTCAAATACATAAACCCAAGTAGACTAATTAAGACTTTAAGTGTACTCCCTTGGTACCTTTAAGTGTACTCCCTCCGTCCCCACTTAGAAACCAACCCATGTACAATTTCTCTTGCCTAAAGCCTTAAACAAAATTACTCGACAAAAAGGGACAAAGAGAGTAAATCTTATGACAAACGCTTGGACCAATCTTTTTAGTCAAATAGGTATTATAAATCCTACTTACATTCATATTTGTCACCAATTAGCTCTAGACCATCTCATTTCTTAACACTTACTAAAACTGTAAAACATACATAATCAAACAAAATTACTTTCCCAACACATTTGTCAAGCAAGAATTTAGACAACAACCAAGAATAGAAACCAACAAAAAGAACAGGACAATTTAATATATATACCTCTTATAAACATCACCAAAGGTGCCACCCCAAAGCCTCTTCCTAAACAAATCCTCAGCACAAGGCTTCCCTTCCCAAAGCTCAAGTCCGGCGGTCACAATCCCCGGCACAAAAATCACCGGGTGCGCCGCATTCAAACCTTCTTTCCTTAGCTTCTCCCCCGGTGGATCCGGCAACGGCCCCGTTATCGCCTCGGTAACATACTGAGGCAATGAAGATGGCATTGCTTTGTATAAAAACAGCAACAACCACCATATTGAACATATCAATCCAATTAACCAACAACAATTATCTATACACGACCATCTCTTCCCATTCCCTTTCTTCTTACTACCATCCTCTCCATCACCCTTTCTCTCTCCTCGGGCTTTCTCGGGCCGGGTCACTTCTTCGGGCCTGTCGGGCTTTCGCCGGCGAAGATTCTGCATCTTTTATGATAAATCGAAGTGGGTTTTTGTCGCCGGAAAATGGGTTTTTGCCGGCGACAGAATATGTATTAATTAATGATTTTTTTTAGTGGGAATTGATGAGGTGAATGAAAATGAATGGTGAGAATAATAATAATAATTGAAGAAAAATGATAAGAGAGTTTGTGAATGGGGAAGATGGGGTGGGATCCACAGAAGCAGAAGATTGAGGTTTTGTTTGAATGCGAATATGGGCAAATTTAAACAGAGCATCTGATCTGAAAAAAAGGAGAGAGAAACTGAAAAAAAGGGACATTTTTAACAGCAAAGTAACAAATTGTTGACGATTGAAAGATGTTTCTTGAATTAATTAGGCGTTGTTGTTCAACTTGTATTTACAGTTACTTTTTTGTTTTAATCTAGCACTTAATACCTTAGGTTAATGTAACAAACTAACAAGTAATTACTTCTTGTCGGTGTTAACCTTTTTACAAATATAAGACAATCGTAATACGCATATGTGTATCATTTTATAACATTTAACTTTTGCTACTTCGGCTTGGATTTCAAATGTCATAGTCAAAACCATTTTATAATTTTTATTTATTTATTTGTATTAACAAATGTAAATGATGCCAAGTGGAGTGACAAATATGAGCAATTGAATTTTTAATACTAGTGATTACATGGAAAAAAAAAGTCTTGATTTTACTAGAATTCTTTATTTCACAAAATATAACAAGCTAAGATGTATTATGAACCAAATAAATGGAAAAAAAGTTTTGGTTATATCTTTGCAAACTTCAACCATGTGAATGACAGAGATTTTCTCGTGATTAGGCACTCTTAAGTAATCTCATGTTTTAAATGAAATTTGATCTAAGGAGTTCATATCTTAAACACACTTACCTTTCACTAAATAAATTAAATAACCTCTATCAAAATTTGAAATGATTGATAAAATGAATATTTTTGCTTTTTTGAATAAAAAGAACTACCCCATTAGGTCGAATTCCCATATGGGTAAACTTAGTTTAGATAATCGTCTTAACAAATTAGACACGGTGAAAATGAAGGGGAAAGGGTACAAAATCGACGCCTTCAATGTATGGCTTGTGAAGATTGAACCCTAACTTCTTGGTAAAAAGGTACAATAGGCCTTGTTTGGCAAATGGCTGTTGGCGGTTGGCTGTTGGCTGGTTCACTTGGCTTGTTTGACCAGCTGAAATGTTTGGCTATTTATAATGGCTTTTGAAATTGGCTGTTTACAAAAGTGTTTGGTAAATTAATTGGTGGTTGTTGGCTGTTTATTAGATAATTTGTGGGCCAACAAGCCAAAAGCCAACAAAAAAGCTACTCAAAGCAGCTTTTTCATTTTGGCTTAAAAGCCAGCTTTTTCGCTGACTAAAAAGCCAATTACCAAACACATTTTTTGGCTGTTTGACCACCTTAAAAAGCCAAAAGCCAAAAGCTAACCAAAAACCCATTAAAAAGCCAATTACCAAACATGGCCTAAGTTTAACTTTGTGATTGTTATACTAGCTAGGATTTGTTTCCCCAAGATTGAGGTTATTTTACTAGTATATGATGGGTTGTTTGGCTCAAGTTTGTAGTGGTCATTGGGTTAATGTGGTTTGGCCGTTTGGGTAATGATAGGCTATTGGGTTATGGGCTAGCCCATTAAATGGGATCAAATTGTTTCGAAATAATTACTACTGTAGTTTTTTTTGCCAATGCAACACTGCCAACACATATTCTTAGCTAGGAATATTATTATAATTTTAAATTTTTTTTTAATATAATTTGTACAGAGTTTATAGCAATAGGATTTAAGATCACACTCATAAGTCATAATTCACTAATTTTATTCTAAATTGTCCAACAATCTATTGTTGGCTTATTACAAATTTTAAGATATACGTATACAAGTACATACAGTAGTATAAAACAATTTAATACATGCATTTTTCTAGAACAGGTTATTGTATGATTATGTTCAATATACAAAGGATTGGTTGATTTTGCAAATACTTGTACTTCCTCCCTTAATTATACCCCAAAATTGTACGTAAGGTTCTGATCTTATTGATGCTGATGTTAGGCCGCCGGAACATGCTCATGCACACACTAGTACAATATTGTCCGCTTTGAGCACCAAGGACCACATCATCACTCATGGCCTTCCCTCGAACGATTAACTTGATCTGTTACTCACCCCCTTTTCGATATCGCCGATGCACTATCGGAACCTGCCGCCTGATTACACCATCAGCTAACCATGGCTCGCAAACCACCGGACCATGCCCACTTGCTCCAACCACAAGTTACAGGGCAACCCCACCGGTTACAGGCTCACCGCAAACCATCAGACCATGCCCACTCGCTCCAACCACGAGTTACAGGGCAACCCCACCGGTTATAGGACATCCCCTGATCCCACCAGCTTGAACACCATCAAGAGGACTTTCGACACAAAGGGCACAGATCACCTAACTTCGAGGACACACGAGGAACACCCCCACATACTCCACGGCAGCCACCCGCCCCGGACCGAACCAGCCCGGCTCTGATACCATTTGTAAGGCCGTCGGAACATGCTCATGCACACACTAATACAATATTGTTCGCTTTGGGTCAAGCTCGCACGGTTTTGTTTTTAGGCTCCTTCCCAAAAGGCCTTGTACTAGTGTATTGAGCACCACTTTATAAATAGCTCCTTCCCTTGCTATTTTTTCCATGTGGGACTTGGGATGAAATTCCCAACAGCTGATATAGCCGATACTCCTCTGCTCTTTTCTTCGACGATGTCTTCACTGTGGTGTACAACTTAAAATCCAAAATGAATGCCCAATTAATATGTGAATCATATAGATCATATATACGTTATCAAACATCAGTTAGAGTGACTGTTAAAATGGTAAAAGTACCCAAATTTTAACTAGTGTTGAATTTCACATGATTCTATAAGTATCACAAAACAAAGCAATCCTCGGCCTTAATTTGGCTGACACACTTTTTGACCAACATAGACTTTTAACTAGACAAATTCAACCGACTTTTCATTTTATTGCGTGATGATTGGTTGTAGAGTTTTAGAAAATACATAATGCTAATACAATTATACAAAAAAGCTAACTAATCATTTAATAATTTATTAGAAATGTCGGGAAAAAGTTGGAGATCAATGCTTAGAAAAACATACCTTGGGTTTGTGGTAGTATGATTTAGGAATTGACTAAGAAATTAATTTCCTTAGTCTCGTTGTCCATGGGAGTAGCCACATGATCAAATTCAATTTGATTTAATTTGGGTGCCTTGAAAGAAGGCCGAATTGAGAAAAACTTCATATCAGGACATTTGCTAATGTCCAATTTTTGCAAAGACAATATTAACAATTTAGGAAATTTATCCTTATGCTTTGTTCTTGATATAAACATCTTCAACTTGGGGCAATCTTTTAGTCTAACACTTTCAAGCAATGGAAAAATTTCATAACCATATGTAAGATCCTCTGTTTCCTCTGTTTCCTCGTCACTTATAACCTCCCTTATTTGTGGACACCTATCTATGGACAATTGTTTAAGTTGCACAAGTGCTGTTGCTATTGATAGCGAACCCAATGTTTCAAGTTTGTCACATCTTGTAATTTCTAACTTGTGCAAATTCTCAAAGCTGGAACGATAACTATATATCCTCGTACAATTGACATCCCACAGCGTTACAATTCTTCCACAACAATACAAGACCAATTGCTCCAACGATGGGAATATTATCTGCATGTCAACATAAAATTTACTTTATATTGCAAAACACATGATTTTTTTTGCAAAGATATATGAATTGCCTAAGTTGTAGTTAAATTCGAGTAAGATTACACTTAAAAAATACCTTACTATTGAAAAGAATTTGATGTCGAGCCTCAAGATTATAGCTAGCCGTGGTGGAACGTTTAGTTATACCCGTAAGACTTTCCAATTTCGGAAGATATTCTAGTCTCATTCGCTTTAAACTAGAATATCTTTTAATAAATATGTACTCATCTTCATTCTCCATAAAAATGAATTTCATATTATCACAAGACGACACAGTTACCTCAGCCAATTTTGGTGCCGTGAAAGGGATTGATGAGATAGACTGCATCTTCGGGCATAGCCTAACCATCAAATGTTGCAAATGCGGAAATCTAAGAATTGAGCTTTGCACCTTTGGTTCGTCCTCTTGTAGGCAGATGCGATGATCAAATATATATATGTTGGAGCTCCCACATAAATTTCGCAATTAACAATTGAATTTTCTCTTGCAATACCCTCACACTCTCATACGTTGCAGTTGAGTTCGGATGTTTTATGTGGGTGAGCTGCAAAGCACGGGATTGAGAGTACATATTTGAATAATCAGAGCTGGTACTCTTTCCAACACATATTTGAAATTGATCTAGTTTTTTGATAAACTCGAGTTCATGACAATCTTCAATTGTTACTTGCACTACTTCATCCAACTCAACAATCGCAAATTCACTTCTATTTTCATCCTCTTCATAATAAAAAATCAAGCCATTACTAAGAGCGTAAATTCCTTCCAACTTAGACAGCTTAGATAGGACAACATTAGCTGATATCCCTTTCTTGCTAATCACACACCCATTCAAATCCAACAAACGAAGATTGGAAAGATTGCCTATTGCCTCTGGTATTTCCTCCATACTCGATTCACGCAAACTAAGAACAATAAGGTTTGTCAACTCATCAATTCCAGTAATATCTCCCAACTTACATTTCTCCAATAGCAATGTTCTAAGATTCCTCTTCAATTTCTTAATGGAATTTGGAAACCCTAGTGTAAAGTCCATTCCTTTCAGGACTAAAACTCTTAAACTCAACATTCCATCAAAGAAACTATCAGAAAAAAAAATCTCGAGGCATACTCTTGCATTGTCTAATATCAATATTTGAAGCTTGTCGGAGTTGAGATCATTCATTCGAGAATGATCAATGCCTGACATGAGAGATATAGCATAATACTTTTGGAAAGTCTCCAACGATGGCCATTCAGGAAAGACTTCCACCATAACCTTGTCTCCATCTGCATTATTTTGTGATGATTTGCATTTAGAAATTTTTATTTAGATTATTTATAAACACATTCACATACACACACATACTTCTGACTACATGGAATAAAACTAAAATTGAAAGAAATGACAACATACATACCTTTTTCTGCTAGAGATATTGTAGATGCCCGAACCAAATCATGAATTTTTACATAACCTTCACGATGGTCTTCTAACAATAAAGCTGATGATTTGAGTTCATCAACCCATGTGTTGGCTTGCTCCATGGCTTTTTTTAGAGTGTCAGCTTGTTGAAACAACCCTAATCCGGTGCCATATTTCATCATTTCTTCAACAGGTATACTTGCACCCGAAGGAAACAAACAAGCAAGCAACAAGAATCTCCTTTTCTCCTCACTTTCCATAAACTTGTAACTTGTTTGTAGAATTGATTACATTTGAGGATTTACACCACTAATTTTGGCTTGACTAATTGAAATAGGTTTTTCCAATTCAATGCTGAAATGTTCCCAAGTTGAAAACTCTTGACCCTTAAGCACATAGGCTAATGCCACAATAGCAAGGGGCAATCCTCCACACTTGTTCAATATTCTCTTCTCCATCTCTTCATGTCCTTTTAGTCTATCATCAACATTAGCTCCAATTCGTTCCCTGAAAAGTTTCCTTGCTTCATTTTCATCTAATGGACACACCTCGACAATGTTAGCCATTGACACTCCCATATCTTCACACACATTCCTCTTTGTGCTTATCACTAACAACTTGCAATAAAATTGTTGTGTTGTTTCATGATAAGGTTGAGGTATCCCAACTTTTTCTAGATCAATTTTCTCACATAGGTTATTCAATATAAAGAGTATCTTAGTAATTTTCTTCAGAGTGTTGAGCAGATCCTCTGCCCTTTGCTCGATACTATTCATATTGTTTACTTTCAAATTAAGTTGCTTTACAATTTGATCTTGGATGTGTTCCATATTGGGGATTCTTGAAACCTCAACCATCACAATTTTTTCAAATAACATAACATTTGGTGCTTTGTTGGCAATTTCTTTTGCCAATGTTGTCTTACCTATCACATACACATAGTATATAACATTTTATTAGCAATTTAATCACTCCATTTAATTTTAGTTCTAAACTTCTAACAATCATTTCCATTGTTCCTTTTTTTCCCTATATTAAAATACTAAAAATAGGAAAAAAAAATGCCCAGTTAATCTCTTTGATTGCTGTAGTTTGTCAATCTATTTCGCCAACTCAGCAATTTGAGCTAAACCATGATGAGTCAGCAGCATACATGGACACGCAGTGTAAACGCCGTTACCGACACCAACCATTGAAGCTACCACCAACACCAACCATTGAAGCTACCACTAACATCCACCATCTTCATCATGTCCACCGACAACACTATCTTCCCCCATTAAACCATCTACACACTACCACTACCTCCGGCGGCTTCGCCGCCGAATTAAACGAAAACCCTAGGAATAAAAGGTGAAATTAAGGGCTTGGTTAACCCCAAAGGGTAGGGGTGACCAAGAACATGGTATTGGTGAACGTTGGTTGGAGATCTGGTGGAAAGAGAAAGGTGGAGGTAATGGTTATATGCAGTTGCCATTGATGAATGAAGGTAGGAAGCTTAAGGAGAGAGGATGAAGAAAATAAAGTGAGTTAACAGAAGCAAATATGTTAACTCCGTATAATGACGTGTAATGCAGAGTCATTAAAAACGTGGCAATTTTTACTAGTAACACCGTGTAATTTACCATGTTATCCTCACATTAAGTGAGAGAAATACCTATTATACCCATGTAGGCACGAAAAATTTATATAAGTGCCACATCGGATATTATATGGGTCAAAAGTGAATTTGTTGACTTAATGGTTTGACTATTTATTTAAAATTAATTATTTTGGATGAAATAATATAAATTAGCCCATTTTAATTATTTTGATTAAATTGTTCATTTAATAGTAAAAGCCTATTTAAATGGGTTAAGCTACATAAATGAGTCAAGATTACCAATTTTTACTAGTAACACCGTGTAATTTACCATGTTATCCTCACATTAAGTGAGAGAAATACCTATTATACCCCTGTAGGCACGAAAAATTTAATGGTTGACTTAATGGTTTGACTATTTATTTAAAATTTATTATTTTGGGTGAAATAATATAAATTAGCCCATTTTAATTATTTTGATTAAATTGTTCATTTAATAGTAAAAGCCTATTTAAATGGGTTAAGCTACATAAATGAGTCAAGATTACCAAGTCAAAAGCCCAACTTCATTGTACATTAAACCCTAACCCTAGGGTGTCTTATTCTATAAATAGAGACTCTCTACATTTGAAGGGGGGAAAACCCAAAAAGAGAAGAGAACAATCAAGAGAGGAAAACTAGAGAGAAAAACAAAGAGAATCAGATACAGAGAAAACCTCTCAACCTCATCAAATAAGCCTAGAAGAAAAACAACAAGCATTCGACGTGTCGTTCTATTCTAGAAGATCACCCGTGGAAGAGATCAAGCCTCGACGGCCCTCAACACGAAGGAAAGAAGAACCTCAAATCATCAAGAACATCACCGGTTCAGTCTCTACATCAAAAAGTCATTGATCGAGATCAAGCCTCGTCGGTCCTCAATCAAGAATACAAGTCAAAGGTTTACATCAACAACAAGTCAAAGGTCTACATCAACATAAGTCAAAGTTCTGCATCAAATCTTTGATCGAGATCAAGCCTCAACGACCCTCGTTCAAAAATCAAGTCAATTTGTGAATTACGTCAAAGTCAAAGTGGAGATCGAATCAGAGGATCAAATTAGAGATTGTACCCAAAATTATCAAATTAATAAAATTAATTCTTTGTGGCATTTATTTTGAATCTATATTTTGCAGATTTAAAATTTGTGTTTACAACCCCTAGATTGACAAATTAAAACAATCAAAGAGATTAACAGGAAATTGCTGCTAAAAAATATATGGTTCAATTAATTTTTTTTTTTAAAAAAATTTGATAATGAATACATTAATTAGTAAGAATACTTACCCAAACCATCAACGCCATACAAGCCAATAGCATCAACTTGAACATCTTTTAACATGGTCACCACTTGTTGTACAAGATTTCCGTTTCTGGACTCCAACTTCTTCACTGGATACTTTTTATATCCCTTTTCTTCAATCTCTTCAATATTTAGAGATCGAATGATGGATGCATCATCGTGGCCGGGACAATTGTTACGCATTGATTTAACTAAATCGATCTTCTCTTGAGCTAAAAGGCTAGTTTTATACCGATGTTCAATACTACAGACACTGCTTTGTCATCGTCCGACAACGCCAAAGCAGTGATCATTTGATTGCCCGTTTCTGTTGTTGTTTTCCATTTCATATATCTCTGTGATCAATTCCTTCAACTCCTGATCATTTTCCAACAGATTTTTAACCTCTTCAAGCCACTTTAAAGTGGATTCTTTCGGCAATATGGTTGGTCTCTTTAGTTGTTGTACTTGTTCTTTTAAGTTCTTCATGTTTTCGTCGTAGCGACGGATGATCTCACACTTTTCACTTATCATCTTCCATATTTTAGTATATTCCATCGCCAATTTGTTTTTTCTTCTGCTTATTGATTAATTGTTGTACGCTTGCTATTCAGCTTGTTTTATTTCCCCCTTCAGTATATAATTAATTCAAAGTGAAACAATAGTTAGATTATAAACCCGACAGCAATATGTTTGGATGATTTTACAGTAGTCGTTTGAAAAATGAGTGCCACTGCACATAATTTTAATGATATATACTATGATTAGCTTATTTTTTCACTTTATAAAATGGCCACAATCAGTCTTATAATATCTACAATGTAATTATGTAAATATAATTTTTGAAAATTTAATCCAACATAAAATAAATATATTTGTGAAACTATAAAATAAGAATGAAAATTACATAAATGAAACTAAAAATTTGATTAAGCAAAAAAATGTTGATAATACTTTTTTTTTTTTTGAACGGGTGATAATACTATTTAATACCATTAATAAAGTAATATAATTTATTACTTGGAAAAAAAAATATGTCAATTATAAACTAAATAATCATCAAAACATTATTGTAGTCATATTTCAATATTATTGTAGTCATATTTCAAACGACTACTGTAAAATTTTCTATAATATTTAGTATTGTTTTACATGAAAGAGAACGGATAGTCCCTGTTTTTTTTTTTAATTTTTTTATTTGCATACACGTAAAAATAATTTAAATTTTTTGGATATTAATAAAATACGAAGTATGGAGTATATAATAAGACAAATCTTCATTTATCTCATATTGATTAAAGAGAATTTATAATCAAAGATAACACGGTGATAAAGTTTTACTCGATATTAACAATGGAAAAAAAAAGGGGCCGAGAAAGTAGTTAATACTCATTAACGGATATTTAATTGACAATAGAGAATTTTGAAAAATGCTCTGTTCTCTCTCCTTCTTCCACATGAAATACATTGAACTCACCGAAGTTCTGGTGCCGTGGCCGGTTCTACGGCGAGTTTCCTTGATTTTTTTCTCTAGTTTATTTTCTACAGTTTTTGCTCTGATGTGGTGATGTTGAAGCGGAACCAAGCTCCATGAAGAGTTTCAAACTCCGTTTGGTGTTACCGTCTTCTCACTGGAAATGTTAGTTAGTTTTTTTTTTTTTTTTTGATTACTGGAAGTTAGGGGTGGGTATAAAATCTAATCGAGGCTCCGTGCTCATTGACTCTTCTGGTATTTCTTTGATTACGGACTCGATTTCATTGACCTTAAGTTGAGCTGTTTGATAAGGAGTGATATACTCAAAGTCAAACCTTCCATACTTATGTTCCTTGATCATAGAAATATGATTGTATATTCTAGCCTTAATTTTAGGGATATTATTCAATCTTCTAGTTGTAAGCTATTTATGATTTTATCTTCCAAAATTGTAGGGATTTGATTGCATAGCTTAAGCCTCATTGTAATAGTATAAATATTTGTGATTAATCAATAACAAGCACAACTTCTCCTAATCTCCTTTCTATATTGTTTTGCTCATCTCATAGCGTCGATGCAAGTTGCAGTGAACACGGCGCCGTCTAGTCTTCTCGTCAATGAGATGCTGCAAAGTCTCGTCTTTCTCGACGAGGTTCTGCACCTTGGCAAGCCACCTATCAGTGAGCTTTGTACTCTTGTGCATATTTTCCTGTTTTCGCTGCTCTACTTTCTTAGTAAAGACGTCTTTGAGAATGACCAAGTGATTGTACTCGTTTTGAAGCTCTTTCATGTTATCATGGTAATTCTTTTAGGGTATCGATGTTCAAAGACTTTGCTAACTCTTTGGCTGGATCCGCAATTGCACTATCCATTCTCAAGCTGGATACATATATTTGACAAGGAAAATTTATTAGTCAAGAGACAATCACGGGATCATTAAATATCAAAATATGTTACAAATAATGCTCAAATTAAACCCATATGTCCTACAAATTAGGAATATGGCATTGATTATATGTCAAGAAATTGCAATCATCTCCAATCCCTGAGGTTAGAATATAGAATTGATTTTATGTCAAGAAATTGCAGTCATCTTTTTGAAAATGGAATATAGAATTGATTTTATGTCAAGAAATTGCAAGCATCTCTGTGAAATTGGAGTATTGAATTGATTTTATGTCAAGAAATTGCAATAAAAGCCTACCAATTGGGAATATGGTATTTGACTCGTAGCAAGAAAATTGGAAAATGTAAATATAACATTTTCAAAATTCCAAAATTATATAAAGAAGCAAGCTAATCATCACCCAAGCCATCAATTATTTCAGTTGCCGGCATCTGATCTTTTCTCCTTCGCTCCTCATATAATTATCCAAATGCAAAATACGTTTTCAAGTCAATTTTACAACAAATTCAAATCATAAGATGGTTTTTAAATTACTAAAGCTTGTAAAAACTACACAAAGACTCATTAAAAGACTTTAAATATCATGGTGCAGTGGAGTCATATACACCGTGCTCAACATGCATCTGTTGAAAATTAAGCCTAAAATCAAATAATATGGAGACTAAGGGCATGTTGACATTTACTTAATTTCAGTTCAGTTTAAAAGTACAAAGGAATAAAGACTAGAGAAGAAAATTGAAGTCTCCAAAGATATAAAAGTAGAAGTGAAATATTAAGTCTGTGCTTCTTAATTTTTTACGTGCAAAACGTTTGAAATTAGCATATTTAAAATTAAAAAAAAATAATAATAAAAATAAAAACCTAAATAAAGCAAGCCTTATACAGTCTGTCAGTCTTCTACTCGTATTATTTTTCTCAACTAGTGATTGGCCATTACTCCAATAAGACAATAAGTTAACCAAATAATTAAACAAGAACAAAACTTAGAACTTTGCTAAGTAATGTAAAGCTAAGTTTGATTTAGTTTGCTAATGCAAAAGCTAAAAAGTCAAAAGATAGTACCAATAAACAGTTTATCCTTCTTTATTAAGAACCAAATGGCTCAAAACTAGACAACTTTCACATTTTTGCACTTGTATTTATTTGAACTTGCAAAAGCTAAAAGTTTATAATTTGGAAAGTACAAAGCGATGCTTCCATGCTGGATAAAAGAAGTTGCTTAATTTAACTGTGAAATTTGGTTATACATTAATAGGGGTGGATTGTTTTAGGGAGTAACTTTTTTTTTTCTTCCTTTTTTTGGTTGAGACATCTTTGCTTTTTTCAGGTGATTTGAATTTCAAGTTTAATTTATTTTTATGTGTCACAATATTTATCACTCATTTCTATTGATTCAAGTACAGCTTAGAATTGAACTACACTATATGACTAATATGAGTAGTAGTTATACAGCTGCATCGTTATATTTATAATTTCGAGAAGCAACTTAAGTCTAACCTTAGTATTAACATTTTCATTACAGATCAGAAAAGCTCAAATACGTATAAGAAAATGACATATAAAGTGAGGAAAAAGAAATGAATTATACTCGGTAGAGAATTTTTAATTAATCTTTCCCAATAATAAAGAAATTTCATATTTATTTATTAAATATCATAAGCAATCCATTTACACACATGTTTATTTTATTAATACCATAAACCATCCATTTACATTATTACATACAGAGTACATGTTTATTTATTATAATAATAATGATCATTAAACTTTACAAATTTATTTATTTTTTTTAAAAAAAGAAAAAAAAAATACTTCCCATCTTTATTTACTTTTTAATAAACTAATGATTATTGACGAGAAAATACAAATTTATTTATTTGATTTGATAAACAACTGATGTTTATCAAGGGTTATATTATTGGTGTTTGAATCTTATAAATTGAGGGTACGTAACTGTGTAGTTTTCAGTTTAACTTTAAAAACTTATATTAACGTCATTCTTGAGCTCTTCCATTAACTAGTTGGGGGCCGTCGATACAGAAATTGGAATATGTGAACCATTCAACGATAATGTAAAGTGATCAATATTCTTGAAACTTGCTGTAACTTGGCGCTCTTCCACTTAACTCCTTCTTTGGTCCTTCATCCACTGCAACAACTACAACCAGTTGTGATCAAATTTTGTTAACTTTGGCGTTTGAAAGAAGTACTCTGTATTATAATTTATTAAAAACGTCAGGGACTTTTATACTTATATAGTTGAAAATGTAGCTATTACACGAGTTTCTATTCAAGTCCAAAATAAAAAACTAAACACTGGTGTTTACGATTTAAGTTGATAAATTAAACATATACTCGGGTGTATAATAAAAATTTGTAATTCATTGTTACCTTATTATTATGCTCACAAGATATCCTTAGGTTGACCAAATCCTCCTGGCCTTTAATTTATTCCTGATGAGTTTCAGTTTTGATCTCACTCATCTGAGCCTTTAGTTTGTTACCTTCTATGTTCGATCCTGTCCTTTTGCTTGTTTTGTTGAGTTCGCTTGACTTCCTGCAAAAGCATATACTCTTGAAGATGTTGCGCTTAGCGTTCCGGGCCGAGCTCCCAGGGGAACCACCGCCCTGATTGCCGGATTCATCACCAGAAGTACTGATTAAGGGGAAAAAAAGTCAGCTGATTAGATTAATACTTGTGCTTTGATCCATGCTTATCGAAATTATGAATTCTAGGACAAGTACTGTCATATACTAGACTGTCATATACTAGCATACATATTACATACTACCTTCGTTACATATTATTTGCAATGATTAGACATTTTCCCTCTCTATTTTATGTCAAATCGTTGCAAATAATATGTAACGGAGGTAATATATTACTTGGACTCTTTATTTTATGGAATACCTCATATACATATATACCCATGTCAAATCCTCTGACATAGGTGTTGAGTGTTGACACTCCACTTCATAATGGACTATTGCTAAAAAAATTCACAGTTTTGCTGAATTGGATACTTGAATACGTACCCGTGTGAGGTAATAACATAGTGTATAAACAATACAAAAACCGTACCTTGGGTTTTGCTGCAGGGAATGAGTCAGTAAGAAGTTATTAATGTCCTCAGTTTGCTGCCTTTTAAGATGGTAAGGTTCAAATTTAACCTCACTTAATGGTGCTCTAACATCTCCAGAAGTGAAAGACTGCATCCGCGGGCAATACTTAATGTGTAGGATTTTTAAAGCTTTCAGATGCACAACTTGTTTCTGCTTTCCTGAGAAAAACCTCTGTATACTGGGACAGTGGCTAAGGAACAATTTTTCGAGTGTCGGAAAGATTGATATTTCGAGACGATCATCACCCTCCCATGAGATGACTTCCTTTATTTTTGAGCACGAATCGATTTCGATTGTTTTAATCTGCTTAAGAGCATTAGATGTGGCAAACGAGCCAAGACTTTGCAGCTTGTTACATTTGTAAATACATATGTATTGGAGTTTGTCATACGTATTCATCTCTTGTTCGATATCCCAGAGTTTTACAATTTGATTGCAATTTCGCAAAGACAATTTCTCCAATGATATAAATGTCATCTGCAATGTTAAGAACAGATCAATGCGAGACAAATTCAAGTCATCCCAACAAGTCGATTGGCCTATTATATATGTTAAAAGATGTAACAATTTAAACAAAGTAATATTACGAGATTAAAGGATACCTTTCCATGGAAGAGAGTTGAGAAGAGCTTTGAATCATAGCTGTCGATTTCGGTCATTTCACGTGACATAGTAGCCAAAGTTTCGAGATCCTCTAGCACTATATCTGTTAAACGAGGAAACTCAGTGAAATCTCCTTGTGAAACACATTTGACAAAAAGGAAGATTAATTTGTTACACCCTTTCACTCTTAAATGAGTTAAGTTGGGCGCCTTGAGAGGTATTTCTGAAAAAGACAGCATATCATCGCAATCGAAAATTTCCAAGATTTGCAAACAAGGAAACTCAGGATCATGACTTCTATTTCCGGGCAAAGAGATCTCCATTTTAGTAGTTTTCTTGTCGAAATCTTTGACGAAATGTTGCCACCCTGCCATTTTCTCTAGCCTTAACTGTTCTGTTTTCTTGAGCAGTTCTGCCATTTTCATGTTGTTTTTATCATCAATCTTCTCTATGGACCCAACTCGTAAAGTACGAGACAACCGCCTGCTGTTTGCAGACGGCGATTTTGATACCAAATTCACAGATGATTGTGATGACTCTTCTGGTGAATTCAAACCAACAGATACATAAAAATGATCCAAGTTTGTGATAAACTTGCTATTCACTGGAAATTGTTCAAGATTCCGTACTTTGATTTCAACTACGTTCAAGAAGTTAATGAAGTTCAACTCATCAATTCTCGCAGATTCATTCTCCTCATCACTCTCTTCTGCCCAATCTTCGAAGCTATTGTATGCATAAAGTCCTTCCAAATCAGAGAGCGATTTTAAAAGATTAGCAGGGATTCCAACCTTGTGCTGAATTTTACAGTTGCTCAAATCCAAAAGGCGAAGATGGTGGATGTTCTTCATTCCATCAGCAGGTAACTCCTCCATTTTCGAGTTGCGAAAACTAAGAACAACAAGGCCTATTAAATCACCAATCCATCTAAGATCACCTAACTCACAGTTCTCCAAGTGTAACGCTTTGAGTTTCGACAATAGTTTTCCTGTTGATTCTGGTAACTGCAGCTTAGATGATTCACTCCCCATTTGTTTCAGTGCTAAAACCTTGAGATTGCTCATCCCTTTGAAAAAATCATCGGTAAACTCGTTATGAGGTTCGGTGTTATCCTGAATCAATACTTCAAGTTTCTCAAATTTGAGCCCATTAAGACGAGAATGATCAGAGCCAGCTGCCAATGATATAGTTGTGCACATTTGTTGGTAAGTCCCTTCCCTGTAACGCCATCGTGGAATGTCTTCCAACATGAACATCTCCTTTTCTGAAAGGAAATTAAGGAGAGTATTGATTGTTAATTACATCTAAGATTGATAAATTTTATTCCAGTTAGTTGTAATAATAATTTTCCTATTAATTTTAATAAGTCATATAATTTTATTTTATTTTATTTTTTTATCCTAAACCAAATACTGTAATAGTTACTCCCTCTTTCCCTATTTTTTAAGCCCATTGACCATAAATTCTTGTTATTTTACAAATGGTAATTTAGCATGTGGGATCTTATACGTTTCTCCTCATTGTATATTTGACTGATAAAAAAATTTAAAAAAAAAAAATTGCCTATTAAAATGGAGATTTAAATGTTTTAACATGTGCCTTAACCATTAAAATTAGTTTATTTTTTCCATTGAAAGAATGTGTTAAATATGCTGATGTGACTTGGTATCTATTTTATTTTAAACTGGTAATTTTGATGTGATAACAGTGAGTACTTGTTATTATCATATATTAATGCATATGATGAGAATAATTATTGACATGGATGAGTAGCTAGTATATATGTACACATGAATATGAATGAGTGAGTTTAAATAGTGAGTACGTACTGTCTTTTTGGAGCAAGGAAAGTGTATGGGTACGAGCATCATCAGTGAGTCTAAGAGAGACGCCTTGATCATCTTCTTGAGCTTCAAGCCACGACGAGGCGCTCATTTCATTAGCCCAAGTGTGGGCTAGGGAGATGGCTTCAGAAAGGTTCTTGACAGAATTGAACAAATCTAACCCAATGCCAATTCTCATCACTTCACGGACCGGTATGCTTGTTTCGGGGGGAAACGCGCAAGCAATCAAGTAAAACCTCTTCTTCTCTTCGGAATTACTATCAGAAATCTTTAAACTCTCATCCCAAGTAGTCCGGATCACATCATCAGAACTCGACTTCTTATCGAGTTTTTCAGCAAATTCTTTCCACTTGGATAAATCTTCATCTCTTAGCACCTTTGCTAACGACCCCACTGCTTGAGGTGAGCCTTGACAGTAATCCAACATTCTGTCAGCAAGAGACAGATATTCGGAACTCGTTATGTTGTCGACCTCCTTCTCTTTCTCGTAAACCTTTTTCCAGAATAGACATCTTGCTTCATTTTTCGACAACCTTTTCATTTCCAAAATGTTTTCATCTCGATCCACCCCCATTAGTCGGCACACATCATCTGTCCTGCTTACCACCAAAATCTTGCAGTACTCATTTCCAGGAATTACACCTATTGTTTTCACATCAACTTTTCCTCTTACATTATCCAAGATTATCAATGTTTTTTCCTGTTCTGAATGTAAGTGCATATTCAAAATCATTGCCCTTTGATCTACCTTATCCTTATCAATGATCAATTTCTCATCACATCCAATGTCCTTTGCAATCTTTTCTTGGATCACTTTCAGATTTGGTGTTTCCGAAACCGATACTGTGGATATTCTGTCGAATGCACTTCGTACCCTATCATTTTGCACTATCTCTTTTACCATTGTCGTTTTACCTGGTGGTACGGTGCACCCAAGTACATAAGTACAGTATAAGATACCATTTGGAAAAAAATTACTAATACTCTGAATTATTTGTTTCTTTACTTATTTGTAGTTTTATTTGTTTTCCTTTGCTATTGTTCGAATGGTGCACAATCTTAAAAGTTCATAGGGATCAGGTTCAAAGGGCGGATGACATTGTGAGGAAATGTCATATTACCCTGTCTAATTATTTGTAGTTTTATTTGTTTTCCTTTGCTATTGTCAAAAAAAAATTATTATTATGCCCTTCCATTCTACTAACTTCATTTTGTTAAATTACACCTTAAAATTGATATTGTACTAGTAGATGTTTTCTAATAATAAAGTTATAGCCTTATAGGTCAAAATCAGATATTCACATGAATGGGCGCATACGAGGCTAGTACTGCATAAGTTAACATAATATATGCTACATGTACAACCTTAAAGAATCATGGCATCATGCAATAATGCATATTATTTTTAATTTCCAAGTTATTATATGATATAAAGGCGGACTCACAATAACTCATTCTATTCAACAAAAATATATATATTCACATTAAAAAAAAAAAAAAAAAAGTTAAGAAAAAGAATTGAATTAAAGGTGAACATGAAGAACTTACCCATACCCTTTGCACCAAATAGGCCAACAACAAAGACATGTTCATCAAGTAACTTGTTCACAACTTGATCCAAAAGTTTTTGTCTAGAAATCAAGTCACGATTCTTATATTCACTGATCTTGTCATAAACTTTTTTAGCTGATAAATGTTGAGTTAGTGCAAATTCTCCCTTAGGAACATTTTCAAGGGTTTTCTTGATTATATCCAACTTCTCTTGAGCTGCTTGGCTCCACTTATACCGATGAACCAGATTGCAATGGCAGACGCCGAAGCAGCATTCATCTTCAATTCTTCGGCTAACTTCATCCATATCTACGATCTTCTTGAGCATAACATCGTTAAGCAATTCATTTACACCTTTAATCCAATCCCTAGCTTCATTTGTTTGTTCCTCTCCTTTTTGATTAACACCCTCTTCCACTTTACCTACAATATCAATCTTTTTTTCCTCTAACTTTTTCGTAAAATCTTTCAGCTCCTTTATGTTCTCATTATACTTTGTGATGTAACCATAAGTTTTAACTGTGGAGTCTGTGATCGCCTGCGCAACTCCGCTGCTAATCTTATCCAAGACAGAAGTAGCAAATCCCTCCATTGATCTTTAAAATGCCTGCTAATGAATAAGCAAACGTGGTTAGACACTTACACAGTTGAAAATAGGGGTGAAACAAATTCGGGTTAAAACCGAACCGAACCGAAAACCGAACCGAATAAGAAATATGGTTCCGTTTTTTTTTTGAAGTGGTTCGGTTCGGTTTTTTAAAAAAAAAATATTTCGGTTTTCGGTTTGGTTTCGGTTTGAGGAAATGGAAAACCGAAAAAAAACCGAAAACCGAAATTTAGGCCCAGATTGGCAGATTTACCCTAAGTATATAAGGAAAAAAAAAAAAAAACCCTAACCCTCATTCTCTGATTCTCTCTCCTGACTTCCTCAGTTCGCCTCTTACCCTACCCTCATTGCGAATTTCTCAGTCTCTCACCCTCACTTTCTCAGTTTCTCAATCATCTATTTTGTGTTTCTCAGAATTCTCACTCTCCAATTCTCCATCGTTCACCGGCACAGCGCACTCGTTCAGGCGTTCACTGTGACACCGTCCACCGTCCAAAGGTATGCTTTTAAGTTTTGATTATGCTTGATGTTCATATTTTTTTAGGGTTTTAATTATGATTAGTGTTAAATGTTAATTACGAAAATCTGCAAATTACATGTACAAATTTGTTAAACATTCTGATTAGGGTTTTAATCTATGCTTGATGTTCATATTGCGATGTTGTTTCTGAATTTTCTATTCTGTACAAATTAGTAAAACATTCTGAATTTTCTGGTATTTTGATGCTTCGGGGTTTTGGTCTATTCAAGGGTATTTTGGGTTTTGGTCTAGTAAAACATTCTGATTAGGGTTTTGGTCTAGTAAAACATTCTGAATTTTCTGGTATTTTGAAGCTCTATTCGATTGGACTCTGTTGAAGATTGTTTCAGATTATTAGTTAGTTATTAATTCAAGGGTTCGCATGATTAATAGCATTATCATTGTCTTGATAAGTGTTTATTAGATTGTTGATCTTTGTTATTATTGTTAATTTTGATTTTACTTGTTTTGGGTACAGTTAATCAGTTAGTGCTTAATTTGATTGTTTTTGGGTGGTGGGGTGGAATCTAAGGGGGCTAATTATTATTGCTAAATTGTTATTGTCTTTGGTTTAGTTAGCCAGTTACTACTGATTTTGTTTATTAGGGGTATAATTATTATTCCCTTTAAAAGATCCAATATTCTTAATTTATGAGTTTGCATGTATTCTTACAGATTGTTATTCAACCACGAATTATTGAATGACAACCAACGTGGGTGGTGTTCCTGACCAGCCTCAATCCGAACATGAGACTGACCAAGTCTCTCAAAATCAGAAAAAAGAACAAGGAGCAAAAAGGAAGAGGATGAAAGAACGCTCTGAAGTTTGGAAGCACTTTGATAAAGAAGACTTACCTTCTGGAATGCAGGCAATTTGCAAGTATTGTGGGATGAGCTACAAGTGTGGGGCAAAGAAAAACGGCACTAGTGTGTTATGGGCTCATATTTCGCGATGTCGTAAGTATCCCTTTAACACCCCTAAAGATTCAAAACAAAGTTTGCTTTCATTTAAAAGTGCTAAAGAACCAAGTGGTGGTACTAGTGGGTTGACATACCACAAATTTGATGCTGGTAGTATTAGAAAAGCTTTGTCATTTATGGTGATTGTTGATGAACTTCCATTTAAGTTTGTTGAAGGTATAGGTTTTAGACATTTTTGTGGTGTAATAGAGCCTAGATTTAATGTTCCTTCTCGAATTACAGTAGCCAAAGATTGTTTTGAAACATATTTAACTGAAAAACGAAAGCTGAAAAATGTGTTAAAAAGGTGTAATTCAAGAGTTTCTTTAACCACTGATACATGGACCTCTATACAAAAAATCAATTACATGTGCTTGACTGTCCACTTTATTGATAATAATTGGAAATTACACAAAAGAATTCTGAATTTTTGTCCTATTTCTAGTCATAAGGGTGATGATATTGGCAAAGAAATTGAAAAGTGTTTGCTTGATTGGGGGCTTGAAAATGTCATGTGCATAACAGTTGATAATGCTAGCTCAAATGATACTGCAATTGGGTATATGAGAAGGAAAATAAATGGGTGGAAAACTGGGGTTCTTAAGGGTCGTTTCCTTCACATGCGTTGTGTTGCACACATTGTCAATTTGGTTGTTTCTGATGGGTTGAAAACTGTTAATGAGTCGGTTCAACGTGTTAGGCATGCTGTTAGGTTTATCAAACAATCTCCTGCTAGGTTGCAAAGGTTTAAAAAATGTGTCTTAGATGAAAAAATCAACACAAAAAAGGGATTGTGCCTTGATGTGCCTACTAGGTGGAACTCCACCTATTTGATGTTGAATGCTGCTATTGAGCTTCAAGATGCTTTTGAGAGGTATTCTGGGGAAGACCCTCACTATGTAGTTGATTTGAATGAGAGGGATGGTAAGGGTAGCCCAGATTCTGATGATTGGAATAATGTAAGAAGACTTTCTGAATTTCTACAAGCCTTTTATGATCTGACCTTGCATGTCTCTGGCTCTTTATATGTCAGTTTGAATTTGTTTTTTCATGAATTGGTGAGTGTTGCTGTACTTATGAAAGATTTGGTTTCAAGTGATGATGTGGATATGTGTCTTATGGCTTGTAGAATGAAAGAAAAATATGAAAAGTATTGGGGTGATCCAGAAAAAATAAACCTCCTGATTTTTATTGCCGTTGTCCTTGATCCTCGTTATAAGCTTGATTATGTTGAGTGGATGATAACTGAAATTTATGACCCTATTGTTGCATCAAAGTTAGTTGATAATGTGAAGGTAGCTTTGAATGCTTTGTATGAGGAGTATCGTGTTTCTTCTGGTAATGATGTGAATAGGGAGGAAGTGTCTTCAAGTAAGGATGGCAAAACTCCATTGAGTCCCAAACATAAAAAGATTGAAGTCTTAAAGAGTAAGTATAAGAAACACAAGTGTGAGAGATATGGAGATGCAAAATAGAGTTAGACAAATATTTGGAGGAGGATACAGCGGAGGATATTGATGAATTTGACATTTTGAGCTGGTGGAAGTTCAATTGTTCAAGGTTTCCTACTGTGGGGAGAATTGCCCGTGATGTTCTTGTTGTCCCTGTTTCGACAGTATCTTCTGAGAGTGCATTCAGCACTGGGGGCAGGGTTCTAGATCAGTTTAGGAGCTCATTAACTCCTCGAGTTGTAGAAGGTCTTGTTTGTGCTCAAAATTGGTTACGTGCTTCACCATTTCCAAGTATTGAAGAATGTTTAGAGGAAGTTGAGCTTCTTAAAGAGGGTAATATATAAGAACATCTAATCATAAGTTACTTATTTTCATTATGTGTATATATTTTAACTTGGTTATTTTTGTTATGAATTATGATAGACTTGAAGAATATGGCAGTTGGTGATGCTGATATTGATGAAGTGCTTGAAATAATAGACTGATGTGGCTCTTTGCTCATTGCTGACTTGCTGTTGCCACTTGCCAGACTTGCTACTGCCTTGCTCTATCACTGCTTTTGCTGCTGACCTGCTGTTATGATGCTGCTGCTGCCCTGCTGCTTGTTGCTACTGCTGTTAAACAATTTTTTTACTGCCTTTTAGAACTTGGTCTATGCTGCTTGTTGCTACTGCTGTTAAACAATTGTTAAAGTTGTAATGTTGAACAATTTTTTTTTTTTTTGGATGAAGTGTTGAACTTTTAAAACTTTGAATTATAACTTTGAAGTTTTAGAACTTGTTAATGTTGTTTAAATCTCATTAAGCATTTATGCT